ACAATAACCTCTTGGCTAATTCACAGATCGAACCCGGAAATAACCTGGAATTTAGCTTAGTGGGGAGAGAGGCCCATTCAGTTTTCCTCCTTCCGAAAAAAAAAAAAAAAAAAAAAAAAAAAAAAAAAATTCTTCTAAAATTATATTTTATCTGCATTCAGCGTAAGAAGATCCACTCTGGGTCTTTCGCCTGGAATAACCTCGTTCCCAAGCACTATAACTTATCTATATTTCTATATCTGTGTAACCATTTACACATGTTTGCATGTATTTTTTTATACACCTATTTCAATGTATGTGTTTGTTATACAAATATTTCAAAAAACGTGGTCGAAGATGTTTTCTGGCTAAAATACGAAAAATCGCATTTCTAACTCAAAGATCATGCTTCATGTTCCAATCTAAAATGAAACTAGGTTGTTCGACAGTGAATGTATTACATTTTGCAGCATTTTACTCGGTCTCAGATTTAAGATTTCATATCTCCGACCGACAACTTTTTTTGATATATTACGTATATGCTTGCTTGCACACTTCTGATTGATCCTTAACTTACTTTATCCCTATGGCAGGTGGGTCACCCTCGACAATTTCCAGGATCTGATAGGTCTCTTTCCAACGTTTAACACCGTGTATATTCCTGGTTACAATAAGAAAGACTGCATATCTCTCGTATACTCTTAGCCGGCCAGTAAACAGCTCTAATCTTGAGCTTCCTTTATAGATACGACGAGGGAGCGACATGTTACAGAACTCTCGTTCGTCGTACGAAGGGGACTCTTCAATTGGTCTACCATTTAAGATAGCATTCAAGTTAAAGTCCATTTCTAGGTCCTTGGTCATATACCAGTAATATTCAAAATCTGAATTCCCGTTATAGTCAGGATCAAACGAACGATAGCCATCAAAATAGATATGCTTGTCGAAGCCCCTCATGATAGCGCTCCCCCCATCAATAATGGGTCTTAGTTCGTTAGGTACCACTTTGAAATATCCTTCATCGTACTTAAACACACCCACTTGGTCTCTCATGGATACGTTAAAACGAAGCCGGTAGAGACCATAGTCAATAGTCTTAGGATAAACAGTCGTACTTTCTCTAATTCCCAGACTCTTTTCTTCTGTTCCAGAAACTCCTTCTTTCGACAAGCTAACGTATGTCCAAAATACATCCTTAATTTGTGTGGCTCTACAGTCAATCTTGATCCAAGTCTCAAAGAATACAGTGTCCAGTCTTGTGAAATTAGTAGCTTTGTTTATATCTTTTGCAATGTTTAGAATCGTTGTATTGGGGTAGTTGCACGATATTTTCAGTATAGGAAGTTGCCTCTTCATTTCGAACTCGGATACTTGATTCCACGCATGAAGATAAGAATGAAAATTTTTTATCTCGTAATACATATTGGTTATGATATATGTATCGTTATTGATCTCTTTGAAGTCCACTTCTGGGTGTTTAGATTTACAATGTTGTTTTCCAAATCCGAAGGATGTCCCATCTCCAATAGTGATATAGTAGCATGAGTCAGTACCCCAGTCTGTACTGGATACCTTGAAAGTAACGGTTTCATTCATTTCTTTAGGGCCGTCATTCGTGAAAGCAAGACCAGTGATGGATTTTTGGACGATTGCATTTACTCTGAATATCTTCGAGCTGAAATGATTACTGCAATTGACTGTTATAGGAAAAACTCCAGTACTGGCATACACATGAGGTAACATGGTTATATTGTCAATGGAGAGAAACCTTTTTGAAGTCCCATCACCAAAATCAAAAATACACTCATAAGGGTTAGCAATAGTCAGATTGATGTCTATTGGTGTAGGCGTGAGGTAAACATTTGGCGGAACTGTTAGGCGAGCGTCGCCATTTATTGGTATAACTGGATGCGCTACGATTTGTTTGGTGATGTTAGCTCTACTTGCGTTGTTGTAAACCTCGACAGTCAGGTTATAGGTCCCTGGTTGTGGATAACTATACAAAAGTGATGGATTCAATCCAGTAGGGATTATCACTCCGTTATCCATGATAAACCTATAATGTGGGTTACTACCACTGGTGAGCGTCATATTGACAAACAGCTTATCAACTTGATAATATCGGTCGAAAATTCCAAGGTACGTCACATCAATGTTTTGGATAATGACTCGATCCTCAACGATGGCTTCGGTAATAAACATTTTACGGCTGACTAAATTCGAGGCTACTACGGTGATATTATATACGCCAGTTGCAGTATAATTATGTGAGCTGAAGCCAACATAAGAATCTCTAAGATCTCCTAAGGTAAAGTTGTAAGTTCCTGTTCCATTGCCATAATTTACTTCAACGAATGGTAATGTACCAAAGCGGATTTTCCAGTAAAGCCAAAAGCTCTCTAAAACTACTGATGCTTGTATGGACTTGTCAAGGACTAGACTTTGAATTTTATCCTGGAGGTAGAGAGACATCATGAAACTGTGATGCTTTGGTATAGACACAAGGACCTCGTAGATTCCCGGCATGGCGTATTGGTGGCTAATGCTGCATGCCAAGGTACTTTTAACGGTCAGATCTCCAAAGTCAAAGGTTTTGTTCAATCCTCCAGAACAGTTGTTTATAGCAAAGGTGATGAGTTGAGTGGTGTGAAAAATTCTATTATCCATTGTAATGTTTGGCGCTGAAATTGAAATGAAACGAAATTCAACCTGGGTTATCCCATCATGCATTGCGCGTAATATATAATTCCTTTATTATCTGAAACTAATGCTTTGGAAATTTGAAATAGTTAAATGTAGTAGAATTTACATTATACGTTTTTTAAAGACTGAGCTCGCAAATGCAGGGTCAAAGAGGTCTTCCTCTACTTATGAGTATTAGAGCGTGTTCACTTTACTTGGGCGTCTTGTACCAGTCCACGAGCTTTCGCGTGGTTCCTTCAAGATTATCTGTGTTCACATTAGTGCCCAGCAAGAATTGTATTCTCGAGCACCGTTTCCAGGAACCAAGTGTGAACACACGTTTTTAGTTTATGCTAGAAACGTTGATATAAATATGAGATGAATCAATTAAATTTTTTTTACCATTTTGAAAAAATAATCAAGATAAACAATATAGATAACTCGAAGTTCTAAAGCTTAGCTTCGCAGTTTTATTGCATAAAATTAAATCAACGTACACCCTGTTCTCCAAGCGGGTTGGATCTGGCAAATCCAGACTACATGTACAAAATGAATACACACCTGGGCAAAGATGAACGTTGCACTTCCTAACTTCATTATCTGGTGCTACATCGATGCAGTTTTTACCGCCGTTGCTAGGTTTAGGATTTGTGCAGTTTCTTGTTCTTGTCTGTGTTCCTCCTCCACAGGTGACGGTGCATTCTGTCCACTCAGTGAAATTTGTATAGCCACCATCAATTACCGGAACTGGAACGATAAACAATGTCGAGTTGTGAATGTATATAAGAGTGGCTTTCCTAGGCCGTCATAGGAAAAAGTAATTTTGCTTATGCTGTGAGTTTGTGGGACTTACAAACAAGTTTTAACAGTTTCAACCTGCTCTCGTCTACATAAATACATCGATCGAAACTTTCATACGTTCAAAGCCAAATAACTTTCTTACACTTCTATCTACATATTTAAATAAATAATAAATAAATCACTTTTATTTAAGTGTCTAGTCGTTCTAGCGCTTTCGCACTAATTGGGGACACTTTTCACTCACACGCACTACCACTTCATTCAATATTCTATGCACACAACGCTCAACTCACATGTTGATTTTTACGGAGGGAGGAAACCGGAGAACCCGGAGAAAACCTTCGTAGCATAGGAGAGAACAACACATCAAACAAACTCAATTCACATGTGGCGACCGCAGGGCTCGAACCAGCGACCCGACCCGTTGGACTCACAGCGGTGAAAGACGACGCGTTAGCCGCGAACGCCACCCATGCTACCCAAAGCATTTTGCATTCAGGTCTACATACCTTCAAAGCCAAGTATCTTAACCCTAATACACTATCATCTACATATGTGCATCTAGGTCTACATATCTTCACAGCCAAGTACCTTAACCCTAATACACTATCATCTACATATGTGCATCTAGGTCTACATATCTTCACAGCCAAGTACCTTAACCC